CAATTTATTCACTTTGTATCCCTGATGCAGCCCCCTCCCTTGTCTCCTCCCAGCTCCGCCCACCTTCCCTCTTCTCCCCCTCTGCCCTTTCCCCAGTCTTCTGATAGGGGAGGTCCTCCTCCCCTTCTATCTGACCCTAGCCTATCAGGTCTCATCAAGGCTGGCTGCATCATCTTCCTCAACCATGTTCATAGCAGCTCTATTCGTAATAGCCAGAATCTGGAAACAACCCAGATGTCCCTCAACAGAGGAATGGATACAGAAAGTGTGGTATATTTACACAATGGAATACTAATCAGCAATAAAAGAAAACAAGGAAATGATGAAATTTGCAGACAAATGGTGGGAACTAGAAAAGATCATCCTGAGTGAGGTATCCCAGAAGCAGAAAGACACAACATAAACTCACTTGTAAGTAGATATTAGCCATATAATATAGGATAAACATACTAAAATCTATAGACCTAAAGAAGCTAAATAACAAGGAGGACCCTAGGGAAGAGGCTTAAACCTCATTCAGAAGGGCAACCAGGATAGACACTGGAAGTAGGGGAATACAAGGAACAGGACAGGAGCCTTCCACAGAGGACCTCTGAGAGACTCTACCCACCAGTATCGAAGGAGCTACTAAGACTCATAGCCAAAGTTTGGGCAGAGTGTAGGAATCCTTATGGAAGAAGAGGGAAATAAAAAGACCTGGAAGGGACAGGAATTCCACAAGGAGAACAAGAGAGCCAATGTCCTTGGGCCCAGGGGGAACTGCGGAGACCGATACTCCAACTAAGGCCCATGTATGGAGAGGACCTCGAAACCCTGTTCAATGGAAGCCCATTGGCTCCTCAGTTTCCAAGTGGGTTCCCTAGTAATGGTACAGGGGCTGCCTCTGACTTGAACTCAGTGGCAGGCTCTTTGATCACCTCTCCCTGGGGCGTGCAGCCTTGCCAGGCCACAGAGGAAAATGATGCAGCATCCTTAATTTCTAAATGTGTTTTCTAAATATTTCTAAATATTATTTGTGGAGAGCTGCTTGTTTTCACCCTGGCCTTCACCTGGAGACAGGGATAAGCAGGATCTTCCTCCAAGTTCACTTTCATTTGTGTGAGGATCACACAGACAAGCGGTCGAGGTAAACAAATTTGACTTCTCCATGAAGCCCTTCATTGTATCGAGGTGCTTTGAGTATAGAAAGGAACTGTGAAATAAACCTGTGTGACAGTTTCTACTGGCAGCCCTTTCAAACTGATCTTGTGTGTAGTGTGTTACTTTTTAAATTTTTCTTTCAATCCTCACTCCCCACTCAGGAACTGTTCAACTCTGCAGACAGGCTCTGGCAATTATTTTTCTTTTGCTAAGATCAAATACCAACACCAAAAGCAACTTAATGGGAGAAAAGAGTTTATCTTGGCTTACAGTTCCAGGCGGACAGTCCATCTTGGCAGGGAAGACATGGAGGAAGAAGTAGGAAGCTAGCTGATCTCATTCTTCATCCACATACAGGAAGCAGAAAGGGGTGGGGGAAGGGAGGTGGAGAAAAGGAAGTGGGATCAGGCTATCATAGAATCTTCAAGCCCACCTCCAGCGATGAATTTCCTCCAGCAAGTCTCCCCCTCCCGAAAAAGCACCACCAACTAGGGACAAGCATTCAATACACGAGCCCCTGGGCGGGGGGAGCATTTTCTATTCAAACCACAACAGTGATCTTCTCAAATGTTTTGGGAGGGCAGAGGGGAGGGAGTGGATACTGGTTAGTGCCGATTGTATAGCTCTTGGGGAAAATAAACATGTGAAAAAACCCCACCAGGATAGTCCTAGATATCTGTGAGGGGCTTACTTGGGAGAGATGTCGATACTTCCAGTAATTAGAAATATGATATATTTAAAGTGGTATGGTGATGTGTTCCTGTGCTTATTTTAAGTATATAGGAAGCAGAGGCAGGAAGATGATAAGTTCCAAGCCAGCCTGGGCTACATCTTGGAGTACAAGACATGCATCTTGTCTACCTCTTAAAAAAAAAAAAAAAAACATTGTAGTCCTGGTACATGCTTGTAGTCTTGGCATTCAGGAGACAGAGGCAGAAGAATTGTTGAAAGTTGAAGGCCAGCCTGATATATAGAAAGTTTCAAGAAAGTCGGGGCAATAAATTGAGACTCCAAAACACACACACACATGAATGCACACACAGACAGTATGATAAATGTATACTTTTCAAGTTCAAGAAGTCAATAGGATTAGGATAATGGAAGAAAATAAGAGTCGAGAAATACTATAACTTAAGAGTTAAGAATTCGTAGGCGTGGCCAATCAAATCCACAACGAAAGGGGGCTGAGGCCACCAAGCAACGGCTGAGCCCCAGAGGCAGAGTCAATGCCAGCAGATCATGAAGTTTAATGCTTTAAATGAACTTACAGACATACTAAAAGGAAACAGGAGAATTAAAAAAAATTATCATGTAGTGGAGGAGATAGGGAAGGTGGGGGTGGGAAGAATTCAGAAACTGTGGAGGTCAAGTTGAAACATTAAAATTAAAATTACGACGTCCAGGTGTGTAAAGCGACCAACACCTGCAGCGCCAGGACCACAGAGGGTTAGGGGGAAAGATTGCAAGCTTCAAGTCTATGTGAGAACGTATCTCAACAAAACAAAACAAAAACATTTCAAATACACAAGGCAAAAAACCTCATAAAGATAATTAGGCAAAAGACATAAAAAGTCAATTCCCAAGAAATACAAAAAAGAGTTAAATATCGTTTATAATCAAGGAGTGTGAGTCAAGACCTGGCAGCTCCCCTGGTAACCTCTATTAGCAAAGAGCAGAATTCAGCTCCACAGCAGACAGGAGCCTGGCAGGTTCCAATGCCACACCCATCCATGGCTCTCCTCGGCTGCATGCCCTTTAGACATGCCAGCTCTGGTATTTTTAGTTAACCCAGGGCATTCCTGAGGCCTGCCACATACAGATCTAGTTGCCAGCAATACACTTTCCTTTTTAGTAGCCGCTGATGACGCCTGGAATATTTCTAGGTGATGCTGTTGTCGGGAGCAGATAAAAGTTGTCACTGCTGGTTCCCCCCTAGCCCTTTCCCTGATGATTTAAAGCCATCGCCTTCAAGTATCTAAAATTGGAAAGAGAAGTCTCTGCTACCCCAGTGACAAACTTCTTGCAACAAGGCCACACTTCCTAATCCTTTTAAAATAGTGCCCCTGTCTGGTGACTACTCATTCAAATATGTCCACCTGGGTGGGTGGGTGGGGCTTTTATCCAAACTACCACAGACATATTGTCAAACTGCCTTCTAACTGTGGATGCTTATACCATAAATTAATGCATCTCTCAGACTTGGTCAGAGAAGCTGTTGTTTGCAGTGATGGTTATACAGAAACTCCTGTGGTCCTTCAAGAAAGTCCTTTTTCCAAGGTTGGGCTTTTAAACAAAAGCCCCCATTCCCTTAGGGGCTTGAAGAAAGTTCCTGCTTGCTAAAAAGGGAGTCAGTCTCCTTCTCTCTGGAAAGAGGAACTTGTTGCTCTTCAATCATATATGACTGAGCTGTATAAAAAAAGCAAGCTATGATGAGCAAGCCAATAAGCAGAATTCCTCCATGGCCTCTGCGTCAGTTCATGCTTCTAGGTTCCTGCTCTGATTTCCCTTTGTGATGGGTTGTAAACTCTAAGATGAGATAAATCTTTCCTTCCCAAACTGCTTTTGATCACAGTGTTTATCACAGATGTAGAAAAGCAAACTAGGACCATGGAGCTGGAGAGATTGCTAAGCAGTTAGGAGCACAGACTGCTTTTTCAGAGGACCTAAGTTTGGTTTTCAGCACCCAGATGGTAGCTCACTACCAGTTCCAGGTCATCAGACACCCTCTTGTGACGTCTGAGGACACCAGTCAGGCACATGGTACAGATGCATGCAGGCATCTGGAAGAATCCGGAGCAGGGAGAGAAAATGGCAGCCTGAGAATGACCAGCAGACTAAACTGGGCCAGAAGAGGGGAGGAGGGGGGAATGAGAGAGGAAGAGAAAAGAGAAGGAGCCAAGGGAACAAAGAGATCCAAGAGGGCAAAAAGAACCAAGAGTGTGAAAAGAATGCTGGTTTTAAAAACAATCAGAAGCTGGGGGAAGGGGAAGGTTTGGGTGGGAGACAGGGTGTCTTTTGACAATTTTTCTTGGGCACTCTTAACATTTCCTACATGCTCTGTGGTTGCCTTGTATAATGGAGAAACAAACATCCCTATTTCTGAAACATGTGCTAATCCCACCTAGCGGGAGTAAAGACCAACAACCCAGATTTTCTGGATGAACTGAAAGCATGCTTTATTTTCTGTCGGACGGGGCTAGCTCCCTGATGGGGGATTTGAGAGAATAACCCCAAACACAGGAAAAACGAGGTTTGTTACAGCCCCCAAACTGCAAGGGTGGGGGGTTTCTAAGAAATTTTGGTTTCATAGAAACGAAAATTGGCAGAACATCTCAAAAAGTATTTGGCAGAACGTCTTATCTTACCAGGGGGGAGGGCAGTAGAAACTGTCAAATTCCAGAAAATGGATCAAGAATCGGTCAAATCCAAGTTTTACCGAAAACAGGAGTGAACTTTTTTTGAACTTATAGCAAGATAGTTTCTAATCTTAAGATGGAGTCAGGCTGGGCTGGAGAGATGAGGTTAAGAGCACTGACTGTTCTTCCAAAGGCCCTGAGTTCAATTCCCAGCAACCACATGGTGGCTTACAACCATCTACGATGAGATCTGGTGCCCTCTTCTGGCATGCTGACAGAAAACTGTATAAATAAATAAATCTTAAAAAAGAAAAAAAAAAAAACCAAAAACACTAATATTAAAAAAAAAAAAAAAAAAAAAATGGAAACAGGCAGGTCCATCACACGGAGAGGTTAAAAAGTGATCAAAATAGCTGTGATAAAGTGCAAAGATGTGAACAACAACAACAAAAAAAAAACGTGTTTATAATTTGCCGGCCCAGGCTGGAGAGGCAGACTGACCTGGAATTGCTTTCTCTAGGGCAGTGGGAGTATTCGGAGACGGAAAACCCTAGCTCCTGAACGTGTCTGCCCCTCGAGGTAGAAATCTCCAGGAGGCCTGCGAATTCAAAGTGAGAGAAAGCCATTCTCCCCCGTGCCCACTTAACGTGATTTCTTGATCCGTTTGCGCTGGCGACGTCCCTGGGTGCGAGGCCTGTGGGAGCACCACCAGGCAGTGCACGTTTGTCTCGGGAAACGTTCTGAGGCGGGTTTCTGAAAATATGGGTCAGGTTTCCACGAGGGGCCCTTCTTACAGTCTGCAGTGCCAAGCGGTGAGCATGACCGCTCCGCGGTGCAGGGCCCGGGGGTCCGCACACCGGCACCATTTAACGGATTACAAAATCTAGGTCACCGCCGCCTGCAGCCAGGCACGGTGAACGTCACCGAGCACGTATTCGTTCAGGCCCTGTAAGTGCCTTCCCCAGCGCCGCACCGCAAAAGTACTAAAGAAGGGCGGGTTCCAGCTAAGGTCGAGTGGTCTGCGTGGTCTGCGCACCCCCGGGTACCGCGCCCTCCGCAGCGCGTCCCTCGGAAGCATCCTCCCCTGCGCAGCACCGCTGCCCGCCGTTTCCGGCCGCAGGCAGGTTCCGGAGTCGGCTAGGCCAGCGCCCGAAGCGCGGTTTCGCGGCGCTCTCCCCGTGCTCGCGAGCCCGGATGGTTCGGGAACCGCCCGCTATTGGCGGTCACGCCCTCCACACTGCCCTCTGAGAGCAGTCACACACAGGACCGCGCTAACCGGTAACAGTCCCGCGAGGCTGCTGAGGCCGCCGGACGCGGGGCCACTCCGGCTCACGATCTCAGCAGCTGGGTACACACAGCAACGAGGGTTCTGCTCGTGTGCGAGCTGATTTGAAAAGAGCGTCTGTAGAGAGAAGAGCGGAAAGAAAGGCTTGCTCTGACCTTACGCGGGACCAAGTTTATTCCCGGTAATAGGGCATTGCGAAACGACTACAGAGGAAGAAGGGATGTGGGTCCCCTTGTTGAGGTGGAAACGGGTGGACGTGACTTCGGTAGTCCACAAGGGAAGCTGGGAAATGTAGTCTTCCAGCAGGGTTCTATCTTTTTTTTTTTTTTTTTTTTTTTTGGGTGGTGGTTTTTGTTGTTGTCGTCGTCACTTTTACTTTTGTGTGAGCTCAAAACATGGTTGAGTATTATTTAAAACATCTCTCAGCAAGTGGCTTAAATCGGCGGGTTGGGTGGGAGACAGTAGCACCTTCTTCCTTCCAGTATAGGAAGGTGATAGGGGAGGAGGCTGGCAAGCTTGTGGAACTGTGGAATGCCAGGGGTGGTTTGAGGTGAACGCGGCTTGTGTGGTGCAACGCGAGGGTGCAACAAGGTAGAATTAGGAGCCAAGGTCCCCTCTGGGGAGGATTGGCAAAATAGTCAAGCGAATGTCACAATCCAATCACCTAACGCGTTGTATGTGCCGGGGCGTCTCCTGGTCCAGGTGAACAGATGCCAGGAGACTGCAGATACAGGTTGCTGCTTTACAGTTTTGTGGCTTTGGACTGTCCACAACTGCAGCTCCCCACTTGACATTCCCTCACTGACTTGCCTCCCTGTGGATTCATCCTGCTTCCTTGTCTGTCAGGAGAAATAAGAGTCCTTGTTATTTTCATGCACCTCAAACCTTTCCCAAGTGTCTTACCTTCTGTTTCACCTCTTTCCCGTGGTATGTTTTACTTTTTTTTCCCCAGGCACCTGTTCTCCATCTGAGAAGCACTGCCAAGTCTTTCCCCTCCCCCTGCCCCTCCAGCACTGGGAACATACTCAGCACTCCAGTGGACCTGACAAAGGGTTTGCATCACAAGGTCTATAACCACTGGTATTGAATTTCTTAGAAAAACAAACGGCAAACTAGAAGCAAGTGTGCCAAATGTATACAGACTGTTTCTTCTTGTTTGAGTCCCGAAGCAATACAATGTTCTCGATTCTCTTGGTGATACAGAGATGATTTAAAGTGTGGAGGGGTGTGTGTGGGTTCTATCCAGTGCTCTTTGCTATAAAGACTCTGCTATCTGAGGATGTCCTGGGATAAGTCTCCCTCTAAAACTGGCACATGGCTGTCCCTGCCTCGGCCACACTTCTCACTGTGCTGCCCGGGTTCCATCATCATTTACTGACTGGAAATTCTCTTCCCTTGGTTTCAAAAGTTCTCCCATGTTCCTCCATTCCTGTTTCTGTCAAGACTGCTGTCTGTTCATCCTCTGTCCTCCCCATTTTGTCAGCCTTACCCAGGCAGCCACCCTCCACTCCTAGAGCTTCTCATTTTCTGTAAAAATATGCCTGAAGGTTTGTTCAAAAAGAACCTCAAACTCAGTCGATCTGGGCAGACCTTTGTAAGTAAACAGGATTATCAGGGAGTCCTTTTGTCCCTTCCTCTTTTGCTTCCCAGCCTTGGATAACCTAGCCCTGAATGGTCCCCCCCACCCCACCCTCCCGTCTACTGTGATGAATCTAAGTTTTTTCTTTCTGTGTGTGTATGTGTGTATGTGTGTGTGCACGTGTGCGTATTTGCATGCATGCATACTGAGCCCTGGGTCTTAGACATGCTACATGTACTGGCTGGTTTTATGTCAATTTGACACAGGCTAGAGTCACCAGAGAGGGAGCCTCAATTGAGAAAATACTTCTGTGTGATCCAGCTGTAAGGCATTTTCTTAGTGATCAGTGCGGGAGGGCCCAGCCCATTGTGGGTGGTGCCGTCCCTGGGCTGGTGGTCTTGGGTTCTATAGTAAAGCTATGTGGAGCAGCACCCCTCCGTGACCCCCGCATCAGCTCCCGCCTCCAGGGTCCTGCCCAGCTTGAGTTCCTGTCCTGACTTCCTTTGATGATGAACAGTGAGTGATATGAAAGTGGAAGCCAAATAAACCCTTTCCTCCCCAAGTTGCCTTTTGGTCATGGTGTTTTATTGCAGCAATAGAAACCATAACCAAGACAGTAGGTGAGAGGTTTGCTGCTAATATCTCCAGGAACCATTTCTACATATTCTTGAGCTAAACTTGTCAACCAGGCAGTTACTCTTGTACATACATATATACATACTAGAGATTGAACCCAGGGCATTGCATATACCAGGCAAGCACTCTATCACTGAGTTACCCAACTTCCCTTTGCACTGTTTATTTTTAAATCTTAGTCCAGGCTAGCCTATAACTAAGGTCCTTCTGCCTCTGCCTCTGCCTCTGCCTCCCAAGGACTGCGCTTACAGACATGCTGTGATTTCAAGCTTAGAAAAGTGAAGCAAAATGCTATGAGGCCAGGAGACTTCCCAGGAGATGCTGCAGACTAAAGATATTTGGAGTCTCTCACTGGAAAAGCTTGGGTTCTGTCTTGCAATTGGATTATTGTGTTAGGAATTTAATCTTTAACAGCAACAGTTACAGGCATGTGCCTGAATGTGTGTCTATATGTATGTCTTGAGCATTATATGGGGTCATGGTATTTCATGCATTTTTTGTTAAAACAACTGAATGGTCCAAGAGCACCTATATAGGACCAGGAATTAGAGACAGAACAATGGCCTCATAGTTCTGTGGCTGGCAGTTTTCCAGGCTGTAGCTCTAACAGGCAAGTTTTCCCCTTTTCTGCACTGTTACTGGTACTGTTGCATAGTTTTAATACATTGTGCTATGTCTTCATTGACAGCTACCAGAGGCTTGGACTAATAGTCTGGGTTGCAGTTTCTTCAGTCATAAAATAAGAGTTTCCTCATTGCTGGCATCTGAGAGTAGTTCTGGGCCACCGATGATATTTGTCACCCACTCATAGTTTGGCCCAGCTCTTCTACAAGTGTCATCTCTCCTGGGCTCCGTTCATTTGATCTTATGGGGGTAGGCTAAGTTTATGAGGCAAGCGCAATTGGCTCTTAATCCCCTGCTGTCTCCAGGGAGTCTCAGAGCTATCTCAATTGGCTTATCCTCTTAGAGACTGTTTGGCCGTCTCCAGTCAGCTGTGGGGTTTGGCACCCTCTGTGTCAGTGTGCGGGCTTTTGCACCTAATCTTCCTGTGTAATTTTCTTTTCTGCTGAGAGGAGATGTGGCTTGCTAGCTTCTGGATGCTCCCAGTACATAGTCTTCCTCCGAGGCTTTTCCCTTCCAGGAAAACACATCCTGGCTCTCTGGGCTCTGTTCTGTCTTTTTCTGTTCTTCATGCTGAGTCTCCTGACTTCTTGTCCGAATGTCTAAAAACGTGATCCAGTAGGAATGAAGTTGAGGATTGTCATAGTTAGGGTGTTTTTATTGCTGTGATGAGCAACCATAACCATGGCAGCTCTTATAAAGGAAAGCATTCAACTGGGGCTGGCTTTCAGTTCAGAGCTTTAATCCATTGTCATCATGGCAAGAAGCATGGCAGCATGCAGGCAGACATGGTTCTGGACAGGTAGCTGAGATTTCTACATCCAGAACCTCAGGGAGCAGGAAGAGAGGGGCACTGGCTCTGGCTTGGCCATTTGAAACCTCAAAGCCCACCCACAGTGACACACTTTCTCTTAAGAAGGCCACATCTACTCCAGCAAGGCCGCATCTCCTAATAGTGCCACTTTTAATGAGCCTATGGTGGCCATTTCATTCAAGCCACCATAAGGGTCACTCTGTGACCCCCCCCCCTAAGCTTGTAGTCATATCATAATGCAAAACTGCAGTCAGTCCAAGTTCAAAAATCTCTATCCATATCACAGTCACCACATTGTTTCAGAGTCCAAGGTTCAAAGTCTCTTCTGAGACTCATGGTAATTTCTTAACTGTAACCCCGTATAAAATCAAAATGAAAAAGCAGATCACATACTTCCAGCATATAATGGCACAAGATATACATTGCCGCTCCAAAAGAGAGGAAAGGAAGCATAATGAGAAAATACTGGACCAAAACAAGACCAGAAACCCACTGAGAAACTCTAAACTCTGCGTCTGCGTGTCTGATGTCAAAGCACTTTTCAGACCTTTAGGTCCTTCAGCTGTATTGACTACAGTTCTTTCTCTTGGGATGATTCTACTCCCTGTAAGCAGCTCTTGTAGGCATGGCTCTCCCATGGCTCTGGCATCTCCAACCATGTTGGGGTTTGCAAGGAAGTCCAGGCTTCACCTTCATAACTTCACACAATGGCCTCTTTGAGCTTCCATGCAGGAACACCCTGATACATTCCTGCCCTCAGCAGCTGCCCTTAGTCATAGAGGGAGATTCCTTAACCCCTTTCTACTCTTCTTAACTCCAAAGCCAGAACTATGTACATGGTTAAAGCTGCCAAGTTCTGCTGTTTTCTAGGGTGGAACATGGCTCCCTTGTTCAGTTACATCTTCACCAGCGTTTCTGTCTTCTGTGGTTTCCTTCACTCCCTAAGCTTGGCTGTCCTGAAACTTGCTCTGTAGGCTACATTGGCCTCAAACTCATCTGCATGTCTCTGTCTCCTAAGTGCAGGGATTAAAGGTGTGCACCACCAGGCCCGGCCTTGGGTTTTCTTTAATTCCTTTTCACAAGTTGGAAGCTTAGCTGGCTGGGGTCTTGCAGATCATCACTACCTTTATTCCACTCAGCATCAGGCTGTTCTTTTGCCACACTTCCTGCTGTCCTCCTTCTCTTCAAACTGTACGTTTGTATTTTTTCTTCTTGCTCAGTTCTGCTTCTTTTCATTACAGATCTGCATAAGCATGGCCACTAGTAACCAAGCAACACAGTCTATACTAAGCTGCCTGGGAATCTGTGCCAAAGCTGTTAATCTATAACTCTTCAATTTAGCCTCAGGCAGATTGTTCGGACAGGGACAGAAGGCAGCCACATTTTTTTTTTTTTTCCCACCAAAGTATCACAAGAACGGTCTCCAGGCCATATGTTAGTATTCTCCCCTGAAACCTCTTGATCCAGCCACCCACAGTTCAAACCACCCTCAGCACCACTGTCTTCTGTGTTCCTACTATGATGGGCCACT